TTATATGTCTATATAGATTCATTATAATATAATCATATTCTATAATTAATGTAACGATATTTATTATTCCCTCAATTTCAAATTATAAGTCATTCTAACTTTCTAATCGTCATGTAGTAGCTTACATTAGCGGTTGGATGCCCGGTTATTTGTAAAACTCTCTTCTTCCTTAATACAATGATACGTAGCGTTCTTGCATATTCAAGAAAAAAAAACATTCAAACTTTCTTATAGAGTCAAATCATCTCAAGTTTGACTAAAATTATTGAAAGAATTACAAAGATTTATGAAATCAAATACATATAATATATGAAAATATAATTAATGAAGAATCTAATGATACTTAGTTGGTATCATAAATGTTATTATTTTATTATATAAATTTGATTAAATTTGAGATGTTTTAACTCATGGAAAAGGTTAAAATGACTTATAATTTAGGATAAAGAGAATACATGATATCATAAATATTAATATTTTTTACACGTAGTTAGTTAAACTTTGTACTTCCCGTGCAATATGCGTTTAGTTAAATTTGTGGTTGATTGATATTTCTCGATGGGATATACTCGTTTTAAAACGGAAGGAGCAGTCGCCGAGAGGTCTTTCCTTGCAGGTAGGGCAGGGTTGTGTTGTGAGTCGACATCACCACCAATTCTGGTTCCAGGTAATTAATGAGATTCATCCATGTGCCCGACCTCTGCGGGCACGGATCGCACTGGAAGCAAATTTGAGCACGCCCGACATGTGCGACCCCAGCCATATACTCTGTACGTGCGCTGTTCGTTTGTACTTTCTCCATTCTAAATTATAAGTTATTTTAATTTTTTAAGTTAAAGCATCTAAAGTTTTACAAAAAAAAAAAATTATAGAAAAATTATAAACACTTATGACTTCAAATCGGTATTACTAGAAAAATATAATTAATCAATAATGATACTTGTTTAGTATCATAAATGTTACAGTATTATTGTATCATATAAATTTAATTAAACTTAAGATATTTTAACTATAAAGAAAGCTAAAATGACTTAGGATGGAGATAGCAGTACATACGACATAGAAATCTATGTCTCCTCTGCTTGACGCCATGTGGCTTGCTACATACGGGATCAGGGAGCCCTCGTTTTGTCATGTTCGCTTCGCTGAAAAACTAGGGCTAAAAAATACTATTCGTTGATTTGTTATAAGAGAAAAACACTGTATACATGGCTGATAAGTTCGAGCTAACAGGATCACAGGGGACGATGAACTGAGCAGGGACAAATCGTACCGTTACAGTGGGAAGAAATATCGGGTGTGAGGCGGCATACTTTCATTTGAAGTTTGGGTTATTTTGATCCACGCCATTGTAATTTTTCGAGTTCGGAGATACGCCATTACAAATCGTCTATTTGAAGAACTGTCATTATAATTTTATCTCCCCCTCGTCTATGCCATTTTCTACAACTCAAACTGCTAGACATGTATTTGTACACGAACGCGTAGAAGAACCATCGCGCCATCGACGCCGCACGGCAGCTTCCGCGACTCATCGCGACTCAACGCTGCGCAGAGAGAGCAGCCGTCGCTCCGGCTGGCTTGGCGCTTATGGCCATAAGACACCGCCCGCCAAGACACCGCGCCGGCGGCCATCGCCGCTCCGCCGTCGGCCGACGCTGGGGCGTCGCCATCGCCGGGCGGTCTTCTCCGGCCATGCTTTCGTCGACCGGCATGGCGGTCTTCTCCGAGGCAGGACACTGCCGAAGGCCACGGCGCCACATCCGAGAGGACATGGTGCGGATTGGCCGGTCTGGAATTGGGTCGTCGGAGTTAGCCTGCGACTGCATGATGCGACGGATGGATCCTCGTGGTTTCTCAGCGTCAGATGTTGTAGGCACATGTATGTAATCGATCTGCTTGGAGAACGAACCAGATGATTATGATGGTGAGAGCAATGCAAAGGAAGGATAGAGCCGAAAGAATAGCAAACCCGAATTTTGTTAAAATTGGAGGATTTCGAAATGCAGGGTCATGTGTTCATTCGTTGTGCATGCATATGCATATGGAATCGCAGAACGAACTTGTTATTGCTGGACACGTCCGTCGTCACGATGAGGAAGGCAGCGCGCGCGCGGGTCCCCGTGCGATGGCGGCGCGCGCCCAATGCAAGAGACGTGGTTCGCTTGCTATTCTCGTGACTCTGGTCCCCCACGGGAATACAGGATCAGCAACGCCGGGATCGATGAGTCGCTTCGCCTCCAATCATCCCGCCATGGAGCCAACTTCAACTCTGACGCGACCCTCCAAGATGTTGTTCAATCGCCGCCACGCGACGGGCGCTCGCATTGGCGGAGCGGCGCCGCCACGGGAATGGCGGAGATCCAGCGCTGGTGTTGCCTTTGCCGCGAGGCTCGATGAAGGGTATTGGGGCGCAACCGCGCAGGAGGCGACATGGCATCCCGCCATGCCGAGGCCGCCGCGGCACGCTCCTTCAACTCCGACTTTGCTCCGCCGCGTCCGATGGGCTCGCAAGATGTTGTCCAATGCCGACAATGGGGCGCCGCGGGCCTTCGCGGGCGGCCAATCCGCACCATGTCCTTTCGGATGTGGTGCCGTGGCCTTCGGCGGTGTCCTGCCTCGGAGAAGACCGCCATGCCGGTCGACAAAGGCATGACCGGAGAAGACCGCCGCGGAGGCCGACGCCGCGGCCGCGTCGACGGCGGCGGCGGCGATGGCCGCCACGCCTGCGGGGAGGTTGGCGGGCGGTGTCTTGGCGGCCATGGCGCACGCCGAGGACGCGACCCGCGGGACGCCCCCGCGCGCGTGCCAACGCCAGCCGGAGCCGCTCCCTGCGCAGCACGGTGAGCGCGACCAGGGCGTCGCGGAAGCTGTCATGCGCTTCCGGTGGGCCGGTACGGTTCTTCTACGCGTTCATGTACAAACACATGCCTAGCATACGTTTGAGGTGTAGAAAATGGCACAAATGAGGGGGAGATAGAATTATAATGGTAGTTATCCGAATAAACGATTTCTAATGGCATATCTTCAAACTCGAAAAATTACAATGACGTGGATCAAAATAACCCTTGAAGTTTTCGATCTTGTGTTGAAATGTTGAAACTTGAAGCTAACTAACCTCGGAAGATCAGGTTCGATCTTTGACCGTGCATCTTATTACTTCGTGTATCCCAGCTCTCGTTCTGAGCTGAAGTCCACGCTCCGACATCCGAAGATGCGTTCGTCCGATCTGCAATTCGCGCATGCTGAAGTAGCATGCTGCTTCTGCTATCTCGGCTGGATGGGATCGGCCGGAGATGGAGCGTCAAGTGGCTGGTCGAAAGGGAACTGTGGACACTGAACACTAGGGCTGGCTCACTGGCTGGCTGCAGTAGTCTCTGTTGGTCAAGATAGGATCCGTCCCGGACCCGTCAAACACCCGTCACCAATCTGCAAAAAGAGAGAAAAAATGCAAAGGAGTGAAAGCGACACAGCCCCGCGGCACACTGCGAGAAAACCGTGCGCTGAAAAGGATCCCACAGAAGCTTCACTTGGGTACTCCCTTTTGTAGGTCAAAAAGAGAGACGCTGATTCCTGACAAGCCACTGAGATATTTCTTTATCGCCACTTCAGCTTGGTAATCATCTTATGGAAGGAAACGAATTTCGGTTTCGGCTACAAGCCAATTAGCCAAAGCCTCCGCAGTGAAAGAAAACAGAGTTGCGCGGAAATCTTGTTCGATTTAATCACTAAGACGGATGCTGATTCGATCTGTGCTGGTCAACGGTGATGTCGAGTAGGCAGAAAAAAGCGCGCGGCTCTGATAACAACAGCTGCATGCCTGCATATTTGGCACGCAACGAAAAGGAACACAAAGCTCCGAATTGAATTCCGGGCGTTTGACGAGTCACGATGACGGAGGCGAAGACCAAGATGAAGATGCGGGTGCAAAGAGCGGAGGAATAATCCCAGCGGCAGCGGACTGCAGTCTGCACCGAATCCACCCGGTTCTTTGTGCCTGTGCCTGTGCCTGTGCTGTGCAGGCAGAGGCAGTCACATGACGCCCGCCCTCTTTTCGCCGCTTTTGCGTTGTCAGCTACGGAGTACTCGCGATGAAAACATAATATCACTGATGTTATATTTGTTTTTATATTTTTGTCTAGATTTAGATTTAAATACGGATAATATCAAATCGCTCGGTCACCGGAGAAGCTCTCGCCAAAGGATATGATATCACCGATATATATTTTGTTTTAATTATGCAGATTTAGATTTGAATACGGATAATATCAACCATGCCGGATAGGATATGATTGGATATCGATATTATAAATATGTGATTTGAGTATTTGAATACAGATACGGTATCGGATGTTGAATATCTGGACTCGAATACAAACATATCTTAACTCTTCTAAACAGATTCAGTCTCAAATACGGTCAGAAAATATCCGTACTGTTTTCACCCAGCTACCATGTGTACTAGAAAGATTCGGCTACCTACCAAAACCGGAACGCAGCGCCGGCCCGGCCTACTCAGCGGGCGTCGGTTCGAGGTTCCGGCTCCCGGTCCGGTCGCCGCGCTTTGAAAACAATCGTTCGCGTCCTCTTCCTGCTTGCATGCTGCCTGAGCAGTAATGCACTTTTAATAGTTTGCCAGTTAGGTGGCTGCCAATCTGTTTAGCCTTTCGTTGTACTACTACTGTTAGTACCTGTACACATTTATAATGTGCCTCAAGAATTCTGCCGCCAAATCAAGCAGTTCCTCTCTGGCTCTCTTGTATTTGCACGCAGAAGAGGAGTTAACTTGTGAACAACGTACTGGGGAATTGCTAAGGAGGGGAGGGAGAAACTGGGAATTTCGAACAAAAAAAACTGAGACGATCACAATTCTTTTTGACCTGTTTTGTTTTCTGAACCAGTGCTGTCCATTAGAAAAACTGCCTGTCCTGCAAATTGCAGTGAATCAAGCCCGCTATTCTAATGACTCTCCTCTCGGTTCTGAATTTTGAGATGCACTACTAGCCTTGTTCCAACGGCCTGAAAAATCGAAACCCCTGCTGCCCCGCGACGTCATCAGCCTGGCAGCCGCACGACGCCTCCCCGGCGCGGAGGCCGAGGCGGTAGCACAGGCACAGCGGCTGCTGCGAGTGCGAGGTGGGCGTGTCGGCCGCCGCCGCCGCTGGGCCCACGGACAGGTCGAGGTTGAGGTTGAGGTCGGGGCACCGCGGCTGCTCCCCCGCGCTGGTGCCGCCGCCGCTACCGCTACCGCTGCTGCCGCTGCTGCTGCCGCCGTCGTCGGATGACGACTCCGCCGGCGCCGGCGGCTTCACGGCGAGCTTGACGGGGGCCGCCGGGACGATGACGGCGCCCGCGTTGTGAAGCAGCGCCGCCGACGCCGCCCGGTGGTGCGCCGCGACGCCGGGAGCCGCCGCTGCGTCGGCGCCGAGCGCGCGGTGCGTCTGCGGGTCGATGCCGCGGGCCAGGAGCTTGCGCTTGATGTGCGTGTTCCAGTAGTTCTTGATCTCGTTGTCCGTCCGGCCCGGCAGCTGCCCGGCGATCAGAGACCACCTGCGGGTCAAAGAGACGAGCGAGGAGCATGTCAGACAGCATCAATCAATCAATCAAAGGACGTATCGATCGACTGCGTGCGACGACGGAAGGTAGACAGAACAGAAGGACACGGCGCCGCGCGCAGGCTTACGGAGTACTCACTTGTTGCCGAGGAGGCTGTGCAGGCGGATGATGAGCTCGTCCTCGTCGTCGGTGAAGTTGCCGCGCTTGAGGTCCGGGCGGAGGTAGTTCATCCACCGCAGCCTGCAGCTCTTGCCACAGCGCAGCAGGCCCGCGGCCTTGGGCAGCGAGCGCCAGCACCCCTCCCCGTGCGCCCGGATGTACGCCACCAGCCGCTCGTCCTCCTCCTTGGTCCACGCGCCCTTGTTGGTGTGCGCCTTCTCGCAGCACGGCGACCTCCCCATGGCTAGCTAGCTCTCCCAAGCTGAAACCAGAGCACTCGTGGCGCTGGCGCCGATCGATCGGTCGAGCTCGCGCAGCCGCGCTCCCCCCCTGCTGCCGAGGCGCGCGGCCGCGGGGTCCTATATATATATGGCGCGTGGGCAGCGTGGCCGTGCTCACTATAGCTCGGGGCGCTGTTTCCTGTTCCAGTGTTTGTGCTGCCTGTACTCGCTTTTGTTTCCCCCGTCTGTTGCTAGAGTTGGGTTGGGTGGTGGTTGCGGTTGCGGCGGTGGAGCCCGCGTGTCGTGCACTTGCGACGCCCTGCTCCCACTTGCTGCTTGTAGTTGTACTGCTACTGCAGCTCCATCGGCGGTTTGGTAGCGGTGGTTACGGCTCGCGTCGCGTCGCGTCGTCTCCGGTCCCCGGCGGCCGGCGTCACAGACCGACGTCGCTGCGGGGAGCGGTGACGGTTGTTTCGGCGGCCGGGCCCGTGCTAATTTATGACACAGGACATGATGAGATGGAGCGGGGGCAGCGGAGGCTTGCTTGGCGTGGTGCATTGGAAGGATAGGGTGGATGGAGGACCAGACCAGACCAGCATGAGCCGATGAGCGAACGGGACCGCCCGGCCGGACCCTGCCTGCCGATGAACCCACGTTCAGCGAGCCGAGGGCCGTGGGGTGACGCGCCCAGGCAGCCGTGCAATCGACACGGCGTCATTGCGAAAGGTCCCGTCAGTTAACTTTCAGTCCCAACTCCCTACTATATGTACAACTCCGATCATTACTACTGTAGTGCTGAGCTTCTTGCTGTTTGTTTGATCACTGGCAGAGCAGAATCTGCTCGGTCGGGTGGTGCTTGGCAATGCGGGAGAGAGAGAGAGAGAGAGAGATTAATGAGATTGGGAGAGCAACCTTGAGCAGATTATGAGATTAGGTAGCAGCAGCAGGCAGCAGCTGTACGTTTTGTTTCATCAAGTAGTGTGGTTGGCAGCGGGTGCATGATGTACGTGTGTGCTTTCTGGAAGGTAGGGGGGGAGCTGGGGAGGGCAGCGATAGTTTAGGGCCTGATTAGGTGACATGCGTCCGGTTGGGTTGGGACTCTTATTAGGTCGGGTTTGGTATGGTTCCACAGCCACAGGTGGGCTCATAAAAAAAATGCCCAAGGTCAAAGCTACCGTAACACATGCCACTATGCCATGCGTTCCCTTTCCGTTGGGAACTTAAACTACACAAAGTACTCTTTGTTCTGTTGGGTTAGGGCAACGTCTGTTGAAACCGGTTGGATGCGGCGAGGCCCGTCACCGGAGGCGGAACTGGCACTAAATTTAAGTGGCAGAGACTGTTGAAGAACTGGTACAAAATTTAAGTGGCGTCCTGTTACTTAGGACTAGGGGCAAAGCCAGGATTAATTGTCGCCGGAGTCTGGGCAAACTCACGGTACTAACTTAATACAATACCATACATAACATCAACAAAAGTAAAGTAGCATTATGCTATGCGACTCAGCAAGAGAACAGGGGAAGCAAGAGTTTGGAGCCAGTGCACCGTTTGGTCTTGTCTTTCATGGATGGAGAATCTAGGCTAGCCAGTCAGGGCCATCGTGGTCAACAAGATTTGAAGCAACCGCAGACTATATTTGGTGAAAATGAAGAGGACCAGGGGTGAAACTAGCACGAAAATTTGAGTGGCGACCTATTACTGATGGACCTCTGTAGCTACATAAAAGGAGGTATATTTTCTTTGAAAAACCTAAATTTGAATGGGGCACGTGCCCCCGCCCTTGTGTACTGGGTTTACCCATCAGTAGTTGTTCTTTTGCGAAGCAGCGTTTTATGAGCTATCTTTTTTCCTTGTGTAATGGTTCCGCCTCAGGCAAGTGTGCAATCGTTCTTTTACCAAGCAGCATTTTATGAGCTATCTTTTTTTCCTTGTATACTGGATCCATCAGTCACCAGGCAAGTGCAATCGTTCTTTTTTGCGAAGCAGCGTTTTATGAGCTATCTTTTTTCCTTGTGTACTGGTTCCGCCCGTCGCCAAGCAAGTGCAATCGTTCTTTTTTATGGGCAGCAAGTGCTATCTTTTTTCTTGTGTAATGGTTCCGCCCGAGCAAGTGTGCAATCGTTTTGTGAAGCAGTGTTTTATGAGCTATCTTTTTTCCTTGTGTACTGGATCCATGGTCACCGTGCCAATCGTTCTTTTTTTTGGGCAAGCGTTTTATGAGCTATCTTTTTTCCTTGTGTACTGGTTCCGCCCGTCGCCAAGCAAGTGCAATCGTTCTTTTTGTGAAGCAGCGTTTTATGAGCTATCTTTTTTCGTTGTGTACTGGTTTCATCCGTCACCGGGCAAGCGCAATCGTTCTTTTGCGAAGCAGCGTTTTATGAGCTATCTTTTTTTCCTTATGTACTGTGTCCGCCCTACACCAGGCAAGCACAATAGTTCTTTTGCGAAGCAGCGTTTTATGAGCTTTCTTCTTTTTTTGTGTACTAGGTCCGCCCGTCACCAGACAAGTGCAATCTTTCTTTTGAAGCAGTGTTTTATGAGCTATCTTTTAAAACTACCTGGCAACCACTACCCTACCATTATACAAGTTGTGGTTACTACCAATCTCATGGAGTTCCTTTTTCTATGCATAAATTAAGATAGTATATTGCAATGGTTGACTATTAATAAATAGTCTAAAAGTTACAAGTCAAACAAAATTATGTCAGACAATTAAGGGGATAGAACCATCGATAAGATGACACAAATGTATCTGTTATGATGGTCTAGTTCTCTGGCGCAAATGAAAATAAAGTTTAAGTTCATGAGCAATCCGTGGTAATTGGTTAACCATAGAAGGGCGGGGCTATGTTTTGTCTTTTAATAGTACTCCCTCCATCAACAGAAGAATGCAACTATGATATTCATCCCGATCAAGTAAACACTTAAGTTTAATCAAATTTATAGTAAATAATATTAGCATTTATGCCTACATAAATATTCTATAGCTAACCTACTGGTATTAATTTTGTATCACGAATGTTCATACCTTTTTATATAATTTTAGTCAAAAATTAAATCGTTTGACTTCTCAAAAATGAGAATTTGATTTTTTTTTTATAAACGGAGAAGGGGGTATATATCATGCCCTTTTTTACCATTTGGATATATATGACTCTTGTGGACCTGTTTGATGCAGATTGTTAAGGCTACGGCTGCTCCAACAATACACCTGCATAGCACTGTTGCGAGTTCTGGCTGCAGCTAGAGTAGCTGCACGAACGCACCCGCTGTTAGCGTAGCATAGGGGTATTTTATAGGAAATAGTATTCACATTTATTATCGCAGAACCGATCAATTTATAAAAGTACAAGTATAATGGTAATCCGCAAGCGGTCACACTGTCATACTTGAGCACATATAAACCGGTAGTCTGTCGAGTACCACGATGGGTCTCGATAAACAATCCACATACAACCAAGATCATACATGATTCAAAAATACCTATTACATGTTACATAAAGTTTATAGATACAGTTCATTCATCAGAGTACGAAATAAGGTTATTACAAACCAAGTTCGATAGATAGTAGTGGAAGCAAATTAAAGTTTGAAACTAACATTTGCCAACATAGTTCAAATACAGTGCCATCTCATGATCACAATCCACGAAAAGCATATAAGAGGGATTATTAAAGATGTCTGTCCAAGGCTCACTCCTCATCACGGTGGAATAAAAGCAGTTCTTGTAATAGCCTTGATAAACTGTACCATCTGCAACAATGAGAATAAAACCCTGAGTACGAGAATGTACTCAGCTAGACTTACTCGTCATAAACAAGAGATAAATTGACTCCAAGGATTATGCAAGACTTTATAAGTGGAGGTAGCTTGACAACATTTTACATAAAAAGCGATTAACTCAGTTATATAATTATAGTTCAGTCATCAAGTTAATTATAAATATTCATCCCTAAATTAGCAACTATCCTGTGCTAAACATGTGGTATATCATTTGATAACATACAATAGTAAGCATAGCAGATATAGTAATTTCATGTTTATCCAAACCATCACATTCTATAATACCATTACTACGATGTTGGGGCTAGCCAAGTTTCTCACTATCCGGGAGAGACGACGATTCAAATCAATTTCAACCAGCTAGGAATTTATTCCTAACACAAACCCAGGTAGACCAGATCAATGGTCACCTTAGGTCATCTTTGGTACAACTCAAGTCTATATTTCGTGGGTTCGCCCAACACCGCACAATCAGGGACAACCACCTGCCAGGACGTTCAGGCCTGCCGCCCTTGGGCTCACGCCTGGCTCCCGCACATCCTTACTACCATCCAGAGTGCACACTTTTACAGAGAGAGGCCCGACCTGAGTTGAGTTACTTGGCTCCGCAGTCGGAACGAGTTATCTGGCCAGCTAAGTGATAGACATGCGTTCAATCTTGTCAGAAGTGCCAAGGACGGTATGGTCCTTAATCGGCACAGACGGAATCACATGAGTCAACCTCACATAGACTCTGCCCGACCTCCATTTACATTACCCTATGGTCCTTTTCCACGATAGCAAATATATCCAACCGTGTTTCGGTATCCACCTATATCTCGCAAGTGACAGGAAATCACCCGACTTCTATCGGTTTAAGCATGGCTAAGCATATATTCGATCCTGAACCTACATAGGGTTAAATGGATATGTATCTAGACAAGGTAGTTCCATGCATCAAGTGTTTCCAATCAACTCTTATAACGTAATGCATCAAACATAAATGACCCAAGTAGTATTTTATAAAATAATGGAAGATTTAGAATGCTCGGGGTTTGCCTTTGAGGAAAGAGGTGGGTCGATGATCTGGGTACTCAGGGAGCTCTTCTAGAGTCTGCTCCTCTTCTCCTAGAGTTGCTTGCTTGAGGAGTCTCCTACTGATCCCCTTTCTCTTCTTCATTGAATTCCAACAACGTTTATCTCCTCGGTCGATCCTATATGCATGAGGATGGCATAAGATATCACGAATGCATATGTGA